CATCAGAAGCAAAGTTGATGCTTCGTATGTAATTGGTTACCATTGGTGTTTTAAAAATGGACTTTTCAGAAAAATTGTTCATTGCTATATTGAATATTTAAAATATGCAATGTATATGGTTGCAATGTGTGGCAACTCTGCATATACAAACAGTTTGAATACCGCGGTACAACAGTATCCAAACATTGTATTGATACGTTTTGGAAGTCAGCCTTTTGCTAGGTTATTTAAGATGGAAATGGAAATATGCCTTCTGACAACCACCAAACCTTAATATTAGAAGATAAATGTGTCACTGAAAAACATGAACGTGAACTGATGGTGAAAATATTGGACCAAAATGTTTCAATACAAAAAATTAATTTTGGGCGGGACGAAGTTCGCCGGGTCTGCTAGTGATAATATAAAACTTAACTTAATTTGTCCTGAATTCGAAATTTGCTTTAACATATTTTTGCACAACTCTCTTTACATGGGTAATACCCATTGGGTATCAAATGAAAGGGCATGGCTTGTAGAACGCAGTACACCATGAGCAAATCCCAAATCCAAGATGGCTGCCAATACCCTCAATACAGGTCTCAAATTAAACAGCTTAGCAAGCAGAACACAGTGCATTTTAGTAAAAAAAAAATCCCTAAAAAAATACGGGACATCGAGTTTTGAGTTTTGACAGTCAATACGTTGAAACTGAAAACGAGGTATATAATCAAAACAAAAGACTTTGTCAGCTTAGAGTCGTTGTCGAAGCATGCATCCCCCACCAAGCCAAGATGTCGAGGACTAATTGGCGTTAGGATGGCTAACAATAATACATCATGAGCGAGGTCCTCCCCCTCCCGGTCCTTAGAAATAATTAGGTAGGTACCAGTCAGCTCCCCACTCTCCTCGTCAATCAAGAGCAGGGGTCGACGAAAGTAAAACTGTGACTGTGAGCAACCCGGTAGGAAATTGGGTAAACTTAAACCAAAAACTTCGTAAAGGTACATAAAAATATTTAACATATGTACGTACATGTGCGTATCGCTGATTTATGTACCAGAAAGTTCCATAACCCAAAAAAACAGGAATTGTGTTAAGTATGCGATAATGAAGGTTAACTTTTCTTTTATTTTGCGCAAAAATTTCATATCTGTACCATTTACTGTAGTTCACTAGAACGAAATATGTATTAATTTTTACAATTGGAGTATATGTAAATTCAAACCCCGTTTTTCTCGAGTTTTGGGTTTTTTGAGTTATAACAGTACTGAAGTAAATAATCGATATTTACATACCATACATATTCATATCGTCGTTTAAAGTGCAAAACGGCGTATCAACAAAATGCAAAACCTCGTATGTGAGGTTGCCAAATTTTTATAGGAGAGAGTAAAACTTTTCTTATTTCAAAACGGTTCTCTCTTTTATCCCTAATTATCTCATATCTAAGTATCGATATTTTAGTATGAATGGATAAGGGTTTAATACCAAAAGCTTCTGGTGAGCAAATCTCTGATCTTTTTCAGCACAAATCTCAGTTACGAGGTTTTGCAGAATCACGATACCCGGTTTTGTACTTTAAACGACTATATGTCTTTTATGTTAATCAAAATTTTCCATATCCTTATGAAAAGATGAAAAATGTCTCTTAATATCATATTCCTAGTTGGTTTAAGTTTCTTACAACACAAAAGTCCTTGTATTCCACCAAAAGAATTTCCGAGGCTGGTCTAAAAATGCATTAGGAAAATATAATATCCGAATTTTAATGATCTCACCCTTTAGGATTTTTCTATATCGAAATAATATAGCCATGTTTTTTTATTTCGAGATCAAAAAATATTTAAAGCGCTCAAAGCATATGTATTTATGTATTTTATATGGGGAAACACAATATTTCGTAGAAATGGTATAAAATTCTTGAAAATCAATACTTTTCGATGGAAAGCTTTATCTCTCTGCAGGTGACTTCCAATAATAATACTTGTTTAATCGTTGATTAAAATGTACACACACTAATCCTAATCGCGCTGTCACTACCGCCGTTCCTTGGTAAAAGCACAAGAGAAAGGGAAACCATTCCAAAATCAAACGTCTCAGCGCGCACACTGGGAAAGGGCTAGCACAAAATTGATCAAAAACATATGTATGTATGTACATTTTGACGGCGAAAAAAGAACCGGAAGCTTATTTTTGTGGTCGACTATGCTGCAGGTGTAACTGTATGTAAATTCCCCAAAGAGTTTTTTGGGAATTATGCTGAAGTGACAGTCCTTGGCCAGGTATAAATATATGTTTACGCGTCTTTCTTCGTCGAAGTTTTCCTTAAATCTTTTTTTAAAGGTTTTTTTACGCGTATTTTTTCGCCGTACATACATATGTATAAGTGCAAATTCTTGGCGCCTAGCTTCCTGTTCTCGCTAATCTTAGTCAAAATCATGCATTAATCCAAAAAAATATGAATAAATTTTACGACCGAATTTGAATAGATGTACAAATTAGCATACAACAAGCGCGGAATTGTCGTCATACTATGCGTTTAAATGCCCAATTATGACAACATCGAAGTGGATCGTAAAAGTAGGCGGTAAGATTTGAACACTGTTGCCAACTTAGTGCTTTTCGCACTGAATTTAATGTTTTTCATTTTTGAGTTTGGTGCTTGGTGCGTTTTTTGGTGCTTTTTTAGTTTGAAGACACTAAAACTGTAAATCCGAAACAAAAATGGAAGCAAAATTTTGAGCAATTGTAAGTTTCATAAGGAACTTTACAAAAATGGAAAGAAAATCATGGCACAATGACAATCATAAGCAAAAGATCATATCGTCGTTTAAAGTGCAAAACCGCGTATCAGCAAAATGCAAAACCGCGTATGTGAAGTTGTAGAAATTATTTTCTAGAGCGTAAAAACACTCATATTTCAAATTGATTCTCTCTTTTATAAAGCAATCGCTTTTCTGGATAGTATATTTCAGGACGAATGGATAAGGATTGAGCCAAGAGCTTGTGTGAGCAAATCTAATTTTTGGCAGCCAATGTCAGTTACGCGGTTTTGCAGAATGACGATACGCGGTTTTGTACTTTAAACGACGATATGCTTATCAAAAAAATATGTGGCATCATTTTCAATCATGCAAGAATTACATACGGTAATTTGCCATTACCTTGGGGCAAGTAAAAAATAAAGAAATTATAATAGGTTAAATAAACTTCAACTTTCCTATTTTTTAAATGTTTAATATCTCGGAAACTACTTGACCGATTAAAAAAGTATTGATGCCAATTCAAAGATAACTTTAATATCTTTTTACGAGGTATTTCCTATAACCAAAACAAATTTTAGCTCCATTTAAAAAATATATATATATATATAATTTCGAATTGTTGTTAAATTGCCTTATAAAAAACCTTTCTATATAAGGTAATAACTTGTACCCTCTAAATAAAATAAATTTCTGTAGCAATAATTATGAAATTTTCTTCAAAAAAGGTAATTTTATGAAAAAATTTAATTTTTTTCTTTTTTAGTATTTTTGACTTAAAAATATAAAAAATCATATTTTAGTATTTTTGCCTTAAAGATATAAAAAATCATAAATATTATGTACATCAACTGAAAGATAAACTAACCATCTTTATTCTGACATCATTAGTAAATTAATCGATTATGATGTTGATCTTTCAAAATATCGAA